CCCGCCACATGCAGCATATGGGCCGGAGCCCCACTCTTTGAGCCACAGGCACCGCCTATATTGGCCTGATCTTTAGCTTGGTTTTCTTGCCTCTGGTGGTTCTGACTGGGTATCCAGGGCCCCTGATCCCTGGTTTGGATGCTGCGTGTGGGCTGAATTGCATGGATCAGGACACTGACCTAACCAGGGGCCTCCCCTGCTCCAACTATGCCACGGTTCTCCAGCATCCTTCAGAGACAGGCCAACCCTCGTCCTTACAGCCCTGCAATTCTTCCAGCCATCAGAATGAGTCCCACTTCACAGCCTTTGTGCAGACTATTCCTGCTGCCACAGCCTGGGAAAAGGTCCCTGGCATCTATCCTGGCCCCCAAATGTCCTGTGGGCAGCACAGAGTTCACCAGCAGGTACTCAGGGAAGAATGAAGGGACAGCAAACTGAGGGGTCCAGGGGCCAAGGCCCTGCCCTGACCTAGTCCCTACCCCTGCCCAGTAGGCGTGGTTGAGATCCGTTCTGTCCGCGTGGGCGTCGTTGTCATCAAGGCTGCGTACTCAGGCTTCTATGTGGCCATGAACCGCAGGGGCCGCCTCTATGGGTCGGTGAGTACCAAGCAGGCAGGGGCAGGGGTTGGTGAGCAGTGGGAGGGTCCACTGGTCTTACAGCCGGCCCTGCAGCGGGTCTACACTGTTGACTGCAGGTTCCAGGAGCGCATCGAGGAGAATGGCTACAACACCTATGCAGCACTGCGCTGGCGCCACCATGGCCAGCCTATGTTCCTGGCACTAGACAGGAGGGGGGCTCCCCGGCCTGGTGGCCGGACACAGCGGCACCACCTATCTACCCACTTCCTGCCTGTCCTGGTCTCCTGAGGGCCCAAGACACCAGGAGGGGCCTCTGACAGACCCATAAGGACTAGGCCTGAGATGGCATGTGTTCTTAATTGAGTGCCTGCTGTGTACCTGGCACTGGGGATATAGTGGGCCCCCGCAACGAGGCTGGGTGTCAGGGATCCTCCAGTCATGGGGGTGGACTGAGGTGGCCCCATGTCCAGTCATGAGTTCATGGGTTAGGTTCCCACAGGGCACCCCTTGGATGAAAGGATGTGGTTGTCAAGAGACCTGGGAAGGGTATTCCAGGTGGGGCCTAGGCAGCCCAAGGCTTGGAGGTGGGAACCCATCGAGTGGTGGTAGACAGCAAGGCTGGGGCTAGGGCTGTGTGTGAAAGGGTAGAAGAGCAGGCTGATTGAGGGCAAAGCAGGTAATAACCCAAAACATCCCCATCCTGATCTTGGAGGCCTGCAGACATGTCATCACCCCACCACACACATACCAGACACAGGGACTCTGCAGATGGGATAAGGACATTGAGATAGGCGGTCACCCTGGATAACCCAGGCCCCAGTGTCACCACAGGTCTCTCATATAAGGAGGCACAAGGGTCAGAGGCAGAGACTGGAAGATGCTGTGCTTGCTGGCTCTGAAGGTGAAGGGGCCCCAAGCTGAGGGACAGGGGCAGCCTCCCAATGCTGGAAAAGGCAGGAGACAGGCTTTCTCCTGGGGCCCCCAGAAAGTACTGGTCCTGCCACACCCTGATGTTAGCCCAGTGAGGCTCATGTCAGATTTCTGACCCCCTAACTATCAGATAATAAATATTTTAAGCTATCAAGTTTATGGTTGTTAACAGCAATCAGAGGAAACATACACACACCATGCCTGAAACCGTTTTAATAGCAAAATGATCCTCACATTCCTGGGTTCTTCTGGGGGGCAGGTACCATGTGCCAAACACCTTCCTCTCTCTGCAGCCCCCAGGCTCCTCTTCCATACTTGGGGTGATGAAGCCATCTTCCTCCAGGGTTCTGAGGAGGCTTCCCTGTTGGAGGTAACAGTCCCTAGGGATGGGTCAGGACTCCCGCCTTCCAGCCACCACCTCCCACTTATAGTACAGAAAACAAAGTAGGGGCTGAGGCACCTGCTGGGAGGGTGCTGGGCAGCCTAGGATAGGGAGAGACCAGGGTCCTGCCTCAGGAGACCCTACTCAACATTTGGGGACACCTTTAGTCATCAGGGAGGGGGGTTCCCAGTTGTGCATTGGGTGGGGCCAGGGGTATTGCTCAGCTTCTTGCAGGGGGCCTCCTTTAGTGGACCCTCTAGACTCTACCCTACAGTAAGCCAGGAAAGGGGCCTTGACATTTGTGGTCTGTTGTTTGGGGCTGTACATCATCAGATTGGCTAAAATAAAGTGCTGACACCCAGCATTGCCAAGGATGTGGAGAAGCTGCATCCATCATAGGTATAGATAGGAATGTGACATAGTTATGTAGTGCCAGAATAAAACAATTTAGCAGTTTCTTCTAAAACTAAATGGGCAACTACCACACAACCCAGCAACTGTGTACTCTGGGCATTTATGTAAAAGAGAAATGAAATCTCTGTTCACACAAAAACCTGTACACATTCTTAGCAGCTTTACCCAAAATAGCTAAGAAGTGGGAACCGCTAGGTGTCCTAAGGTGGAGGTCACACGGACCATGGCACACCCAGGCAGAAGAGCGCCTCCCAGTGACAAAGGGTACATGCAGGAAGCAGAGTGAAGAATAGCCCAGCCATGAAAGTTTGCAAACTATGCTTCCCTTCTAGAGATTGACAGCTCAGAGGTGGAGGACCCTGTGGGGACATGGATCCTATGGTGCAGCATGTCCCCTGGAGGCTGGGATGACACACAAATCTGTTTTGTACCATGCTGTGTGGGGATCTAAGAGCTCTCAGTCCCACATCCCTGGTGCAGGAGGCCCTGCTACTCCTCTGGCCTCCCCACAGGAGGAAAGGTCACGCCCTATGGCCAAAGACTCCACCTCCCAGCACTCTCCAGAGGACTTAAAGAACTGGAGCCTCCAGTGGCGCCCGTGACTCAGTGGGTAGGGCCCTGGCCAAACCCCAACAAAAAAATAGCTGAGCATTGTGGGCGCATGTAGTCCCAGCTACTTGGGAGGCTGAGGCAAGAGAATTGCCTAAGCCCAAGAGCTGGAGGTTGCTGTGAGCTGTGATGCCACAGATCTCTACCAAAGGGGACAAAGTGAGACTCTCTTAGAAAAAAAAAAAAAAAAAGAAGAAGAACTGGAGCCTCAACCCCTAAACACTGTACAATTCAAGCTCCCACTTCCCCTGGGAAAACTGGACCCACGTATGGATGGGTTTACATGCTCCATGGCAGGGCAGCCAGAGGCCTGGATGAGCCTCCACTAGCTGTTGGAACAAATTACCAAAGACTTGGTGACTTAAAACACATTTATTTTCTCACAGTCCTTAAGGTCAGATATCCCTAAAGCAAGGAAAATCTAGGATAATCTCCATATCACAATATCCTTACCTTAATCTCATCTGCAAAGTATCAGGTACAGTACTCTGTAGGTTGCCCATAGGTTCTGTGGATGAGGATGTGGATGCTTTTGGAGGCCAACAATCTGAGGGGCACAGCCCTTGTGGGGCCCTGGTCATAGTCACCAAAGTCAAGATGCTTCTCTCTGGCTCTGTGGCTCTGACGGCATCTCCCAGGATGGTTTGCTGTGACATTGCCTCAGTAGCAAAAGCCCAGAATATTACTCCCTAAAGGCCAGGGATGGGTGGGATCCAGGTCTCCAGCTGAGTGGGTGAAGCAGACACACCGGAGGACACATGTCGTGGACACAGCCTGGTGCAGAACAGAAGCCGTGACTTTTGTAAAGCACCGAGCCAGGGCACAGGAACACATGTTCTTCACTCACTGCAACAGCCTATAGTAGCCAGACTCAGGGCGCTCCCTGTGAGGAGTCAGGCTGCCGATGGGGCCAAGGGTGGGGGCTCCTCTCCATTATCCGCCTGATATTTGGCCATAGGAGATAAACAACACACTGTGGCAGCCCACTGGGCCATGCAGGTGCCCATGGTCAAGCGTCCACCCCCGACTATAGAGCACCACTGTGTAGACCCAGCAGGGGACACCTCCAAGACTGAACACAGGAAGTAGGGGGTGGCTGGGCCCCCTGCAGACACTTGCTGGAGCAATGTCCTGCCTGTTCAATGAAGATTTGTTTTCACTGTTTTAAATCTGGTGACCAGTAGACACTCTGCCATCTTCCAGTTGAGCATGCCAGTTCAGACTTCCAATGTCTAATTTTGTCATTGTGGGTTCAATAGCACCTCGGCTTCCCAGCTGAGCCCCAAGTAGGGCATTTGCTTGGTTGCTGGGTCCTGTAGGAGCCACAGACTCCTGTGGAAACAGACAGTGCTGCCTAGACCCCCAGCAAGCCATAAAGCTCGGCCCCTCCAGACATACTGGCGCAGAAGGAAGACGCCAAATCACCAGCTTCTCTTTTTAAGTAGTGTATTTTAAACAGCTTTCAAGATACACATTTTTTCCTTTAAAAAACGTCTGAGCAGTTTTGTTCTTGAATTCTGCTGGTAGTCCTCATGGCCCTGACCCTCCCAAGCTCTGGGTGGTGGAGGCAGCCATGGGGTAGGCTGGGGACCCAGGCGGCCTATTCTAGTGAAACTGGCAACCCTGGTGGAGCAGCTGCAACCCGTTCTTCCACAGATCATGCATGGCCGCATGTGAGCTAAAACGTCCATTTATTTCAAAGCAGTAATAATTTAAAATTATAAAAACCTTTCCGCAGTCGAACATTTAGAGGGTGAAGTTAGAGACAGAGGGGACAGGGAGGCTGCGGACGCCCCTGGAGGGGACCCTGTGGCCCGCACCCCTCCGAGCTGGGAGCAGCCAGTGAGCGGGATATCCCTCTGGGGCTGAGGGCCAGGCTACCAAGCCCTGGTCCCACCCTGGGGCCCGCTGGGCGCTGACCGACCAAGCACATCTGTAGGTGCTGCAGTGGTGTGACAGAACCAAGGGTGGGCAGGGGAGGACCGGAGCTGTCCCAGCGGCTTCGGGGGTGCAGTGGGCTCAGGAGTTACTTGTGGCATTCTCATTACTGGGTGAGCTGGAGGAGGATGATGAGGATGAGGAGGAGAAGCTCACCCCCGTCAGGCCTGGGGGGTTCGTGGCTGTGTTCTGTCCTGTGAGGCTTTTTCGGCAGACGGGGCAGCTGTCGTGCTTTGTGGGGACAGAGGCGAGGGTGGAGGAGAAGGGGGTTAGAGGCCGGCGGGCCAGGGACAGGCAGGGGGTGGGCGGGTGGCTTACCTGCTCTAGCCAGGGCACGATACAGCCATTATGGAACAGATGGTTGCAGGGCAGCTGCCTCACACTCTCGCCCAACGCATAATCATCCTTGCACACAGGGCACTCGAGCCCAGAGCCTATGGGATGTGGGGTAAGGACAGGGTCTAGACAATGGCACCACTGCCCCCCTGTATCCCCATCCATGCATACAAGAGAATGGAGCCCAGAGACTGTGGGAGGCAGGGTAAGGCCAGGATGCAGACAATGGCACCACTGCCCCCTTATATCCCCAGCCAGGAGATGTGCCCTTGAGGGAGTCTGCCCATCAAAGCCCCAGGCTGGGCAGGGCAGCCTCAGATGTAAAAGGAACAGGTCCCAGGATAGCAGCAGGGACCCCCCCCCCACAAACAGAACCCTCTCCTTTCAGGAAAATAACCCTAAAGTGTAATACAGACTATCAGGAAAATAACCCCAAAGTGTAATACCCAGGTGAGCAGATCGTACCTACATGCTCCTCGGTAACAGGGACGGTGGGAAGGGCCTGGATTTTCTCCTTGTCTGCTGGTGGGGGGCCCGTGTTTTCAAACTGATTGAGGAGCTGAAAGACAAGAGGCGAGAGTGCCGGGAGCTCCTCGGGGGCGGGGGCTTACTCCTTGGGGAGGGGCAGCCGCCTTTAGCCCAGCCCAGGCTCTGAAGTGTGAGGCTGCGAGACCTGCAAAAGCACCGAGGCCTGTTTGTCTTGGACCCTTGGACCCTGGGACCCCACCCTGCTGGGTCAGAGGTCACTGTGGTGCCTATGTGCCCCCACATGCTCCTTGCTGCATCTCCATCAATATCACTTCACAGCGGGTAAGGGACCCTGATTCCATTCTGATGGCAGCTGTGAGAAGCAGGGGCTGAAAAGGTGCTAAACCCCTCTCTCAGGGCTGCCAGTGAGCTGACATGAGGCCATCTGCCTCCAGAGTGGTCCCAGGCCCAATGACAGCTGAGCCAGGTGAGGGCACAGCCTATCTGACACTCAAAGAGTGCCAAAGAACCCAGGACATACATGTCTACTCTGGGGAGAGGCCACAGGCCCAGGTAAATTCTCCCATGTGTCTGCCATGTTATGTGGGACACCAAAAGGAAAGGCCCCACACTGTACAGATGCAGAGATAGACCCCAGGTGCCCACTGGCACAGAGACCCAGGCCTGATGCCTTCCTTGGCAATGGGAAGTCCCAACAGACTATCTAGTTTGCCCTGGCCGGGCCCCCTGTACCTGCGTGATGATGGCATCCAGGCCGTTGGCCCCCCAGGCGTAGTCCATCGGGTTCGAGTGCAGGACACCCCTGGGGGGGAGAGGGCGGGGTTCGAGTGGCCACAGGCTGGGTGGGGGCCGCCCCCCCTCCTACTCACCAGGGACCCAGGCCCAGGTTGGGGATGGTGGCAGGAGTGATAATGCCGCTGACCAGCTGCTGGATGATCCTAGAACAGAGTGCAGGGAAAGGTCAGTGTCCAGCCTCTAAACTGGTAGCACTGTTAATTTTTATTTGTTTTTTTGAGACAGAGTCTTACCCAGTCACCCTAGGTAGGGTACAGTGTTGTCATCATACCTTACAGCAACCTCAAACTTCTGGGCTCAAGTGATCATCCTGTCTCAGCCTCATGAGTAGGTGGGACTATAGGCATATACCACTACACCCAGCTTATTTTCTATTTTTAGTAGAGATAGGGTCTCATTCTTTTTCAGGCTGGTCTTGAACTCCTGAGCTCAAGTGATCCTCCTGCCTCAGCCTCTCAGAGTGTTTGTTTTGCTCCGTTACCCAGGCTAGAGTGCCATAACATGATCACAGCTTACTATGGCCTCCAATTCCAGGGCTCATGTGATTCTCCCATCTCAGCCCCCCAAAGCACTGGGTTTACAAGCACATGACACCACACTTAGCTAAATTCACAGCTTTTAAAGATCCTTTCAGCAAGAGAGACATACAACTACAGAAGGGATCAACCACCAGTGATCCTTCCTCCTGCCCAGTTCTGGTCCAGGCCTGAGGCTAGAAGAACATCTAGCAATGTGCAGACACATAATGCCCTCCAAAGCCTCCAGGGGTAATCAGTCACGGTGGCTTATACTTGTCATCCTAGCACTCTGGGAGACTGAGGCAGGTGGATTGCTTGACCTCAGGAGTTCAAGATCAGCCTAAGGAAAAGTGAGACCCCATCTCTAAAAATTGCTGGACATTGTAGTGGACACCTATACTCCCAGCTACCTGGGAGGCTGATAAGAAGATTGCTCAATCCCAAGAATTTGATGTTGCTGTGAGCTATGACACCACAGTGCTCTACCAAGTGTAACAAAGTGAGACTCTGTCTAAAAAAATAAAATAAAACCCAGGGGGAGGAAAATGCTCCTGGCTCTGGGCTACTGCACTTTTTTTCCAGACAGAGTCTCAAGCTATCACCTTGGGCAGAGAGTTGTGGCATCACAGCTCACAGCAACCTCCAACTCCTGGGGTCAATCAATCCTTTTGCCTCATTTTTTTTCTATTTTTAGTAGAGACAGAGGTCTTGCTTTTGCTCAGGCTGGTCTCAAACTCGTAAGCTCAAGTTATCATGGCCATCTGCCTCAGCCTCCCAGAGTGCTAGTATTACAGGTGTGAGCTACCACACACAGCCTGGGCTGTTGCATCCTAACCCCACCAGTCCCATCATTCCACACAGGTCTCTTGAGCTGTAGGGTTCAACCTGCTGGTCCTAAGGACCCTAACACAGGCACATTCCTGCCTCCAACATGCTGTGTAGGGTGGCAGCTCCTACTGGGATGAGACAGGCTCCCTGAGATGGGGGGGTGGGGATGGGGGAGGTTGTAAAGGACTGGAGCAGCTGGCTGGGTTAGGCGGCCTTTCCAGAGCCTGGAAACAAACCCAAGTTTCAGTGGAACCCACGCCCAGTTTTAGTAACCAGAACTTCTGATCTTACCGAGCAGGGCCCTCTCGGCCACCCCCAGGCCCCCTCACCCTTCCAGCGTGGGGACGCCTTCCTGCCGGCTGGTGGCCCTCCGCGCGGTGAGGCGGGCCCGGGGCTGCCGGGCGCCATACCGGTGCCGGGATGGGTGTTCTCTCTCCCGCCGGCTCTCAGGGTCCCTGCTGTCATCAGTCTGAGCCCCAGGAGGGAATGTGGGGATCTCAAAGCTGTCGTCAAAGATGCCGAAAGCAAACTGTCCATAGCCCTGTGGCAGCGTGAAGAGGTGCTGGTCCACATTCTGGGGAAAGTACAGGGAGTGACCAACTGAAGCAGGGCCTGGTACCGCAGTGAGGCAGCCGAGTCCTGCAAAGTTTACTGGGGGCATAAAGGCAAAGGGAAATGCAAGGCAGGCCCTGAGAAATGCCAGGCAGACTGAGGCAGGGAAGAGTAGGACTGGCCATGGAAGTGAGACTGGTGGGGGAGAGTGGCCAGGACAGGCCAGAAACTACAACATCAGCCCAGGCAGCATCAGGACCCCACACTCAGCCTACACAACAGTTACCATCCTCATGCTCTAGAGTAGATCCCAGGGAGGTCTCAGACAGGGCTTGTGAGACACAGAGGAAAGAGGGAACAAAAGATGGAGGTGCAGCAGAAGAGGCATCATGCTTGGGGGCCCAGGAGGACTGGTCGTGGGCCAGGCCCGGTCTACTGCTGCCCCAGCCAGGCAGGAACAAGGAGAGGGCTGCCAACCCCTGGGGAGGTGACTCCTAGCAGAATGAGAAGCACAGGGCCCCAACTCACTTCGAATGGCTGCCGGCTCTGGTCCGTGGGGGCTGTGGAGGGGGCAGAACCATTTTCTGTATTTCTAGGGAGAGAAGTGTGTGTCATCAGGCACCCCGGCTCCCAGAGGTATGGGGCATTCTCTGCCCTCTGCAGCCCCATTTCTGGGCCTATGTGACAGGAAAGTAAGGTTCATACCATCTATTGCTGCCTTAGGATACAGACCATGTGGTCACTGCAGATACTGCAAGCCCTTCGGAGGCCCTACTCACATCAATCCAGGCACCTTCTGGATCCTGCCCTACTAAGATGTGTCCACACCAGCTTTTGGTGTCACAACCTTTTTTGTTCTCTAAGTAAACCCAGACTGGCTTTATAAACTGACACAGATACCCCCACCACCACACCAAGTTCATGTTACATAGACACTGGCAGAGGCCACAAGGTTGCTACTGGTCCCTGATTTCTGTGTTCTGGCCTGAGGAACCTCACTCCAGAGAGTGTTCTCAGATCCAGGAGGCAAGGCCCAGAGAGGAGAGTTACAACGGAGGTTACCAATTCTACCCTCTGGTCCTGGCCCCAAGTGCTGCCACAAAAGGGGAACTTGTGGTGCCACCCACATGTAGGGATGTGCCCCAGGGCCACCAGCAGCTGCTTCCTGGCCTGGTGCCCAGGGATGCCAGGCAGCTCTGGCCAGCACAGCCCTGCCTGCCTACCCATGCCCAGATGCCCTACCAGCTCTTCCAACCACTATGACCAAGGGGCTAAGTTACCTGGTCTCCTCTGGAAGCTCCTCGATAAAGCCAGACTCACATCTTGGGCAGATATAATCCTGCAGGAGAGAGCAGGAACCCAGGGTCAAGGTGGTACCCATCCCCCCAAATAAGCCACAGGGGCATGAGTAAGGCCCAGGACCTGGCAACACCTTAGGGCCCATCTGTAAAACCTCAGGACGAGGGCAGAGGAGTTCCCCCTGCCTAGGAGTTTCTACCCAGCCAAGCACATGCAGGTCCCTCCTGACTCCTTTAGTCTTGAAGGGGGGACTGACGAGGGAGGCCAAGAGGACCTGCTTGCTCCTGCCAGCCCTGAGCACTAAGAACAGGGACTCAGCCCACCTTGTCCTTTTTGAAGGTGACCTCCTCTACCTCCACCCTGTTCCCAGAGCTGGATCCAGACTTAGCAAGTATCCCAAAAGTGACAGAGAAATCACTGCAGGGTCTGGGCCTCCCCATGTGAGAGGCTGCACTCAGAGAGACCAGCTCGCAGCAGTCATCAACCACAGCAGCACTTACAGCCCGCTATGGCATCCCAGCCCATGTCCTGCTCCCCTGGCTGCAAGGAGGCTACCCCAGAGACAAGGAGAATGCTACAATGTCCTGGAGGAATGCTTAGGATCCACCCTGGGGACAGCAAGTAGGTGAACCCCCCCCCCCCAACCATGCTATATAGTTCCCTGATCAAGTCTCAAGCCGTAGTCATGCTGAGTGGGCCCAAAATCACCTCTGGGAAACATGGACACAGGTAAGACACATACAAGCACAAGACTTCTTCACATTTTAGAATGTCCAGTACATGTGCTGTGGGCCCTAGAGGCCAGACTTCGTGGGGGTGCTGTTTACAGTTCTGCTCAAGCCAGGACACAGCCAGGTGTGGCTCCTCTGCAGTCAACAGTCCTGTCATGAGGTCTGTGGCCTTACCTGCTGACTTCTAGGGAAGGCCACATTGACATCTGGGCCCCCAGCAGATACTGTACTGTGCCTGCCTCACATACTCCTGCTGGCAGCAGAGGCTGAGGCCAGGACAAGCAAATGGTATCCCTGCACAACACCAAGACGCAAAGACCCACGGAAAGGAGTAGAATGGCCCATGTGAGAAGGGAAACATACCCAAAATAAGTAAAGCATGCTTATAACTCAATAATAATAAGACAAAAACCCAATTTTTAAAATAGGCAAACGATCTGCACAGACATTCCTCAAAACAAACAAACAAACAAAAAAACACGACTAATGGGCGGTGCCTGTGGCTCAGTGAGTAGGGTACCAGCCGCATGTACTGAGGGTGACAGGTTCAACCCTAGCCCTGGCCAAAATGCAACAAAAAAAATAGCTGGGCGTTGTGGCGAGCACTTGTAGTCCTAGCTACTCAGGAGGCTAAGGCAGGAGAATCACCTAAGCCCCAGAGCTGGAGGTTGCTGTAAGCTATGATACCACGGTACTCTACCAAGGGTGACAAAGTGAGACTCTGTCTCTAAAAAAAAAAAGAAAGAAAAAACACAACTCATAAGCACATACAACAGCAATTCTCAACCTGTGGGTCGCAACCCACAGGAACTGTATTAAAGGGCCGCAGCATTGGAAGGCTGAGAACCACTGATGTAGAAGGTACTCAAAACCATTAGTCATCAGGGAGATGCAAATCAAAGCTGCAGTGAGATACCTTCACCCCACAAGGAAGGCTGGACCCAAAGTTGGACAAGTGAGCCTTGGTGAGCCTTGTACAGGGGTGGCAGGAACAAAGAATGGGTCAGCTGCTAAGGAATACAGCCCAGAATTTCCTCAAATGGTTAAACATGAAATTCTATGACACTGACTTTCCACTCCTAGATACACACCCAAGGGAAATGAAAATACACACTCACCAGAACTTGTACATGAATGTTCACAGCAGCATGATTCATAATTATCATCACAAAGTGGAAATAACCCAGAAGTCCATTGATGGATGAGTGGGCAACCTCGCTGTGGTCCATCCTCACAGGGGAATATCACTCAGTCATAAAAAGGAAGGAGGCTCTGACACAGGCTACCATGTGGATGAACCTTGAGGACATCATGCTCAATGATAGATGCCAGACACAAAAGAATACACAGTCTGTGGTTCCATTTACATGAAATGTCCAAAACAGGCAGATCCACAGAAATGGGAAGGAGACTTGTGCATCCCAGGAGCTGGGGGCAGGGTAACTGCTGAAGGGGACAGGGCTTCCTTTTGGGGTGATGGAATGTCCTGGAATTAGATAAAAGTGCTTGTTGCACAACCCTGTGAACATACTAAAAACACTTCAAACAAGTGGATGTTTGGTGTGTGAAATACATCTCAACAAAGCTGTTATGAAAGGGACTGTTCTGCCACAGCCAGTGATGGCGATGACTGTCACCAGGCAAGGGATTCCCAAGGGATCAGCAGGGGTGTGGTTAGGCCACCAGGAATGAGACATTCCACTCAAAAACATAGGAAGATTTCACAGATAAATCTGAACTTCTGGCTCCTGTAGCTATCAGGGGTCTACTGGGCTCTCCTGGGCATAGGGTCCACCCTCAGCACCTGGGTCTCTGAACCAAAAAGTGGAGTTCAGGGTCCAGGCTCTCACTGAATCCTGATGGCCTCTTAGTGCCAGCATGGATTAGTAGACTTGGAATGGCTGCTCTGGCCCCAGGATGACATTAGCTCATGCTAAGGCCGGGGACATAATCAGATGTGCACCCACCCTCTCAGAGCCTCGCTACTGCTGAATATATTCCACCAGGGCCAGTGGGAAAAGCCACTTCCCTTTCAGGATCTCAGCTCACAGCCCCTGGCCAAGCACAGAGTCCCACATATGCATGTAACCTGGCAATGCTCACCAGGGCCCTGCCCAATAGGCTTGGCCTCCAGAAATCAGGCAACCTATTTGCCTGCAGCAGCCGTGGGACCTCATGGCACAGCCCTGCTCAGGACCCTCAGGTGCCCCATCTGTAACAGAGGACAACCTCTATACTCAGGGCCCTGAAATTCAGTAGCCACCTGAGAACATTCACCTCCTAGCATGATTAAGCTGAGCCCTGGGATCTGCCCCTTGGTTGTGATGCTCTTGCCAAGACTGGGCCAATGCCTGAGTCACATGATTAAGTGTCAGGCAGATCTGGGGTGCTCAGAGTCAGGGTCTTGAGCCTCTCCACAATGGTGGTAGGAAGAGGGTAGACTGAGGGAGTCTCCAGATGATCCCTCTCTCTAAGGAAACATTCCAGAGACTGCTTTGTATTTTTAAGTCAGAGTCATCAAGGGAGAAACAAGCAGGTGGGCCTGGGATGGAAAGAGGTATCTCAACCTCTCATATGGGGAATAGCTCCTGCTCACCCAACACCCCTTTGAAGGCCTCCAGCAGCTAGGTGCGGTGGCTCATGCCTATAATCTTAGCACTTGGGAGGCCGAGGCAGGTGGACTGTCTAGAGCTCACAAGTTTGAAACCAGCCTGAGCCGAGCAAGACCTCGTCTCTAAACAATAGCCAGGCGTTGTGGTGGGCACCTGTAAGTCCCAGCTACTTGGGAGGCTGAGGCAAAAGAATCGCTTGAGCCTAAGAGTTTGAGGTTGATGGCTCGGCGCCTGTGGCTCAAGTGGCTAAGGCGCCAGCCACATACACCTAAGGCAGCAGGTTCGAATCCCCAGCCC